TTCCAACCTGCAAGCTTTATTCTTCTTGGATTTCTTTGAGGATATCCCAATCCCTGCATATTTCTAATTTCCTATTTCTAACTGCAACTCCCAGCAATCCTCCAGATAGATAGATTAGAGATAGATAGTAGTAGATAGAAGCATGAGGACTGCTGGGAGTTGCAGTCAAAGAATAGGTAGAGAAGGAAGAAAGGGAGTTACAGCCCAAGAATAGGTAGAAAAGGAAGAACGAGGAGAAAGGGGAAGGGAAAGAAAAGAGGGAAGGAAGGAAAGAGAAGGAAGGAAGGAGAGAAGGAAAGAAAAAAAGGAAGGAGAGAAAGAAAGAAAGAAAGAAAGAAAGAAAGAAAGAAAGAAAGAAAGAAAGGGAGGGAGGAAAGAAAGAGGGAAGGAAGGAAGGAAGGAAGGAGAGAAAGAAAGAAGGGAAAGAGCGAGGAAAGGTTGGCCACAGCAATACATGGCAGGTACAGCCAGTATTTTAATAAATCAAATGCAGAAACAATCCTTAGAATGTGCTCTTTAACTACCACTATTCACTTTTCCACATTATCACCAGACAATTGAATACATTTCTTCCAATGATGAACAAGCTTTCTGAAGCCATCACGGAAGAAGTTGACACTCTGTTTCCGCAACCAGTGTCTCACAGTTCTCTCAACGTCTTCATCAGAAGCATAATGATGTCCCCACAGATCTTCTTTCATTATCGGGAACAGATGGAAGTCAGACGGTGCTAAATCTGGACTGCATGGAGGATGTCATACCCAGTCTCTGAAGTTTCAAGCCTGTGCACTTTCATTTCAGGCATCAGCATTCTGGGTACCCATCATGCACAGATCTTCCAATAGCCAAGCAAAGCAATAATGTGACCCACATGCTCTTGTGAAATGCCGATTATGCTTGAAATTTCTCTTTGAGTGATACGACGATCATCCTGAATCAATCTGTCAACCTTTTGCTTGTGAAACTCGGTGGTTGCTGTCACAGGACGTCCAACTCTTTGTTTGTCACGCAAGTCAGATGTTCCCACCTCAACATCTTTAAACTTACTTGCTCAAGGACGCACAGTACTCACATCAACACAATCACCATAAACAGCTTGCATTCTCTGATGAATCTCCTTTGGGGTGACACCTTCTGCTGTCAAGAATTCAATGACTGCATGTTGCTTAATTCGCAGTGACCGACTGTCTGCACAGGGATCCAACATCGCACTTTAACAATACAACCGTTCTGCCAAAATGGAACTGTAGAGGAGAGTCTACTGTAGAGGCAGGCATGTAGCTGGGGGGGGGGGGGGTTGAGGGGGTTCAACACCCCCCCCCCCCCTGAAATTTTCATGGTGGTTCGAGAAAAGGCCTTATTGGTGCATTATTTAAACTGTTATGTTTATTCATATCATGATCTGATCACCCATACTCAATATATCCCATATACATGTGGATATTGGGATGACGATACAAAAGGTTTTCTTAGGGTAGACCCTCTTTCACTCAGACTCAGCCCCCCCCCCCCCGGCTACAGGCTGATGTAGAGGAGAGTCTACTGAACAAGTCAGTACCTACTTAGGCGATCCCTTGTTGGCCAAGTAGGATAGTCTTACAGAATCAGCATTCTGGTGGGTCCGTAGGTGACTGTGGAGCTCTATTCTTGATCTGCATCTTCTCCCACAGTGAGGGCATTGGTTTCCAGGTGGAAGGCGGTCTCGGTTGGGGTTGGCTTGATGCGCCTTCCTCTTGGCACATTTCTCTCTTTCACCCTCCATTCGTGCCTCTTCAAATTCTGTAGCACTGCTGGTCACAGCTGACCTCCAGCTGGAGCACTCAAGGACTAGGGCTTCCCAGTTCTCAGTGTCTATACCAAAGTTTTTAAGGTTGGCTTTGAGCCCGTCTTTAAATCTCTTTTCCTGCCCACCAACATTCCGTTTTCCATTCTTAGTTCGAGTAGAGCAACTGCTTTGGTAAATGGTGGTCGGGCATCCAGACAACGTGCTGGTCCAGCGGAGTTGATGGCGGAGGCAGCCGTAGCCAGAAAAAAAATTCGAGAGGGGTTGAAATTTTGGGGGGGGGGGGGTTTGAAAATTTGGGGGGGTGAAACGGGGGGTGTGTTGAAACCTGCCTCCACGCTGAAGCAAAGAGCACAGCAGGGGGCAGAGCAGCCTTCAATAGCCTGCAGCTCGCCCCTGTCAACCACCTCCACCAAGTCTGGCCTCCCAACTTGGTTGCTTTGCTACATCAGCTATTGCTGCAAGTAATGACAGTGTGAATAAATTGTCAATATTTGCTTGAGATAGTGCTTGCAGTTCTGGAGGGACTCTTAATTTTTTACGTCTCATAGACTTAGCATGCCGGCCCAGCGGAGTTGATGGCAGAGGACCATTGCTTCAATGCTGGTGGTCTTTGCTTCTTCCAGCATGCTGACATTTGTCCGCTTGTCTTCCCAAGAGATTTGCAGGATTTTCCAGAGGCAGCGCTGATGAAATCGTTCCAGGAGTTGCATGTGACGTCTGTAGACAGTCCACGTTTCGCAGGCATATAGCAGGGTTGGGAGGACAATAGCTTTATAAACAAGCACCTTGGTATCCCTATGGATGTCCCGGTCCTCAAACACTCTCTGCTTCATTTGGAAAAAAGCTGCACTCGCAGAGCTCAGGTGTTGTATTTCGGTGTCGATGTTGACTTTGGTGGAGAGGTGGCTGCCAAGGGAGCGGAAATAGTCAACATTAGAGAAGCCTCCTCGCAGGATTGCAAGACATCCGGGCATCCCCTGGGCAACATCTTCGTAGACGGCCGATTCTCTCGATCCAGAAGCAACCAGAAGCAACCATTAAGCTGTATTTCTGGCATTGGAGAGGGATTGGCCGGTGACTTCTGGAAGAGCACTTTGGTTTTCTCAATGTTCAATGACAGGCCGAGCTTCTCGTATGCTTCTGAAAAGGTGTTTAGAATGGCTTGTAGGTCTTTTTCTGAATGCGCACAGACGACATTGTCATCAGCATACTGGAGTTCTGTAACAGATATTGTTGTAACCTTGGTTTTGGATTTCAGTCTGCTGAGGTTAAACAGCTTGCCATCTGTCCGATAGATGATTTCCGCTCCGGTGGGAAGCTTCCCATCAACAAGGTGAAGTATCATAGCGATAAAGATGGAGAATAAAGTTGGGGCGATAACACATCCCTGTTTGACACCTGATTCCACCTTAAATGGGTCACTTTGGGAGCCACTGCTGTCCAGGAATGTTGCCATCATGTCATCATGGAGGAGCCGCAGGATGTTCACAAATTCGTTAGGGCACCCGATATTTTGGAGGATGGTCCAGAGAGTGCTGCGATTCGCTGTGTCGAATGCCTTTGCAAGGTCAGTGAATGCCATGTACAGAGGTTGATTTTGTAATGGTTGGGTCTGTGTGAGTGTGTGTGTATATATGTATATGTGATATATGTGATATATATCTATATATATAATGGTTGGGTCTGTATGAGAGTGTATATGTAATATATATATATAATGTTTGGGTCTGTGTGAGGTCAGCTGTATGTGTAGGGCTATTTGTGAGAGGATTATTGTGTCATTGAAATGATAGATAGATAGATAGATAGATAGATAGATAGATAGATAGATAGATAGATAATGTATTATCTGTATGTGTTTCTATTGTGTATCAAAGCCTTCGGGTCTGTGTGAGAGAGACTGTGTGTAGGGCAATTGTGTTTTGAGAAGGGGCTACATATCGATAGATAGATAGATAGATAGATAGATAGATAGATAGATAGATAGATAGATATAACCTGTATTAGGTCTGTGTGAGAGGGCGGCTGAGTATGTGGCAGTGGGGATATATATGTGTGTATGTGTATAATGGTTGGGTCTTTGTGAGAGTGTGTGTATATATGTATATGTGATATATATATATATATGTATATATGGTTGGGTTTGTGTGAGACTATGTATATATATATATATATATATATATATATATATATATATAATGGCTGAGTCTGTATGAGAGTGTATGTATATATGTATGTGTGTGTGTGTGTATATATATATATAATGGCTGGGTCTGCGTGAAGTCGGCTGTGTGTGTGTAGGGCTATTTGTGAGAGGAGGATTGTGTCTTTGAAAGGATAGATAGATAATGTATGTATCTGTATCTGTTTCTATTGTGTATGAAAGCATTTGGGTCTGTGTGAGAGGGACTGTGTGTATGGCAATTGTGTTTGTGAGAAAGGTCTACAGATAGATAGTCAGATAGATAGAATCTGTATTAGGGTGGCTGGGTATGTAGGAGTGAGGATATGTGTGCATGTATTTGTGTGTGTGTGTATAATGGCTGGGTCTGTGTGAAAGTGTGTATGTATGTTTATATGTATATGTATATGCGCAGATATATATATATATATATGGTTGGGTTTGTGTGAGACTGTGTATATATATGTATATTATATATATAATGGCTGAGTCTGTATGAGAGTGTGTGTATATGTGTGTGTGTGTGTATATATATATATGGTTGGGTCTGTGTGAAGTCAGCTGTGTGTGTAGGGCTATTTGTGAGAGGATGATTGTATCTTTGAAATGATAGATAATGTATGTAGCTGTGTGTGTTTCTATTGTGTATGAAAGCCTTTGGGTCTGTGTGGGAGAGACTGTGTGTAGGGCGATTGTGTTTGTGAGATGGGTCCACAGATAGATAGATAGATAGATAGATAGATAGATAGATAGATAGATAGATAGATAGATAGATAGATAGATAGATAGATAGATAGATAGATAGATAGATAGATAGATAGATAGATAGATAGATAGATAGAATCTGCATTAGTCTGTGTGAGAGGGAGGCTGTGTCTGTGAGAAGGGGCCAATATACACATATGTCTGTCTGTGTCTGCCTGTGAGAAGGTGCTTGTGTGTGTGCGCGCGAGAGGGCAGTTGTGCGTGTCAGAGGCTGCTTGTGCCCGTGTGTGTGTGTGTGTAAGGGCGCACCGTGGGTTGTGCGGCACCCTGCGGAGAGGACTTGTGGAGGCGAGCGGGCACACACACACTAACACACACACACACTCACTCTCCTCCCTCTCTCCCACACTCACTCACTCCCACACTCGCCCACACACTCCCAGAAGCGCTGGTGTGTGCGCGCCTTGCTCTTAATCCCGGCTTTTCCGCCTGTTTCCCTTCTCTCTCTCTCTCTCTCTCTCTCTCTCTCTCTCCCTCTGCTTTCCTTCCTTCCTTCCTTGCTGTCCTTGAAAGCCACCCAGGTGGAAAGAAAGCAACGGAAAGAGAGAAGGAAGGAAGGAGAGAAAGAAGAGCAAGAGGCAGAAAGAGAGAAGCAGGGCGCCCCCTCTTTCCTTCCTCTTTCCTTCCTCCCCTTCTTCCCCTCCCAGGTGAGGAGATGCGGACGGGGGTCTCTCCGGATGCCCCAGCTAGCCCCTCTTCCTCTTCCTCCTCCTCCTCCTCCTTTCCTCCTTCTTCTCCTTCTCCTCCTCTCCTCCTCCTCCTCCTCCTCTTCCTCCTCCTTCCTGCAGCTGATGGCGAGGAGGCGACGCGGCGGCCAAGAGAAGAAGGAGAAGAAGGAGGAGAAGAAGCATCAGGAGGAGCAGCGCCAGGAGGGTCGCCTCTGAAGGGACGCGCAGCGCCGGGACCCCCTCCTCCTCCTCCTCCTCACCCGAGACCCCGGCCCCCGCCATCCACGGTCGGAGGCGCCTTCGGATGCGGGGAGAGCCCTCGAGCCCGGAGCGATGGGAGAGTGGACCATTTTGGAAAGGCTGCTGGAGGCTGCGGTGCAACAGCATTCGACGATGATAGGGAGGTGGGTGGAGAGGAAGAGCCCGCCCGGGAGGGAGGGAGGGAGCCTGGGAGGGAGGGAGACTTGCTTCCCCTTGCCCGCCTCCCCTCCTCCTCTTCCCTTCCCTTCCTCCATGAGGACTAGCCGCTTTGGGAGTTTGGGGTGAACAAGCTGGAGGGGAAACGCAAGGGTGGGATGGGGAGAGGTCAAAAGGGAAAGGCACCCATCCTGGATTCAAACACATTCCCACTCTCTCCACTCCTCTTTTCTTCCTTTCCTCCAGGAGGACTAGCCACTTCTGTTTTCTTTGCCTTCCTCTCCTCGTCCTCTTCCCTTCCCTTCCTCCAAGAGGACTAGCCACTTTGGGAGTTTGGGTTGAACAAACTCGGGAGTTTGATTCAACAAGGCAAAGGGAGAAATTGAATTATTAGATAGGAAAACTCTGGCTTGAATAGGGAGAGGGAAAAGCTTGCCATCACCTCCAGAAAGAGTTGGATATATCCCATCCTGGACATCTCTTCTTAGTGGGATTCTCCTCCTCTCTTCTTTCATTCCTTTCCTTTCCTCCAGAAGAACTAGCCACTTATTTGGTTCAACAAGATGAAGGGGAAATTGATTTCTGAGATAGAAAAACACTGACTTGAATATTTCATCCACTAACAGAAAGCAGGACTTATCCCTTCTCCGGTCCAAATACATGCCCTCTCTCTCCTTAGTGGGATTCTCCTCATCTCCTTTCATGTTTCCTTCCTTTCCTCCAGTAGGACTAGCCACTTCTGTTTTCCCTTGCCTTCCTCTCCTCATCCTCTTCCCTTCCCTTCCTCCATGAGGACTAGCCGCTTTGGGAGTTTGGGGTGAACAAGCTGGAGGGGGAACACAAGGGCGGGATGGGGAGAGATCTAAAGGAAAAGCACCAGAAAGTGTGGAATTGATTCCCACCCTGGACCCAAACTCATCCCCACTCTCTCCTCTTCTCTTCCCTTCTCTTCCTCCATGAGGACTAGCCACTTTGGGAGTTTGGGGTGAACAAGCTGGAGGGGAAATGCAGGGGTGGGATGGGGAGAGATCTAAAGGAAAAGCACTAGAAAGAGTTGAGGTGATCCCATCCTGGATGCAAACACATCCCCACTCTCTCTTCTCCTGTTTCCTTCCTTTCCTCCAGAAGGACTAGCCACTTCTGTTTTCCTTTGCCCTCCTCCTCTCCTCCTCTAGCCGCTTTGGGAGTTTGGGATGAACAAGCTGGAGGGGAAACCCAAGCATGGGATGGGGAGATATTTAAAGGGAAAAGCACCAGAAAGAGCTGAGTTGATCCCATCCTGAACCCAAACTCATCCTCACTCTCTCTACTCCTCTTCCCTTTCCTTCCTCCATGAGGACTAGCCGCTTTGGGAGTTTGGGGTGAACAAGCTGGAGGGGAAARMCAAGGGTGGGATGGGGAGAAATCTAAAGGGAAAGGCACTAGAAAGAGCAGAATTGATTCCAATCCTGGACCCAAACACATCCCCACTCTCTCTTCTCCTGTTTCCTTCCTTTCCTACAGCAGGACTAGCCACTTCTGTTTTCCCTTGTCCTCATCCTCTTCCCTTCCCTTCCTCCAAGAGGACTAGCCACTTTGGGACTTTGGGATGGACAATGTGAAAGGGAAACTCAAGGGTGGGATAGGGAGAGATCAAAAAAGGAAAAGCACCAGAAAGTGTGGAATTGATTCCCATCCTGGACCCAAACTCATTCCCACTCTCTCCTCTTCTCTTCCCTTCCCTTCCTCCAGGAGGACTAGCCACTTTGGGAGTTTGGGATGAGCAAGCTGGAGGGGAAACGCAAGGGTGGGATAGGGAGAAATCTAAAGGGAAAGGCACTAGAAAGAGCAGAATTGATTCCAATCCTGGATGCAAACACATCGCCACTCCCTCTTCTCCTGTTGCCTTCCTTTCCTCCAGAAGGACTAGCCACTTCTGTTTTCCCTTGCCCTCCTCCTCCTCTTCCCTTCCTCCAAGAGGACTAGCCACTTTGGGAGCTTGGGATGGACAAGGTGAAAGAGAAACTCAAGGGTGGGATAGGGGGAGATTGAAAGGGGAAAGGCACCAGAAAGAGATGGGTTGATCCCATCTTGGGTCCAACACATTCCCACTGTCTCCACTCTTTCCTTCCTTTCCTCCAGAAGGACTAGCCACTTCTGTTTTCCCTTGCCCTCCTCCCCTCCTCCTCTTCCCTTCCCTTCCTCCAAGAGGACTAGCCACTTTTGGAGTTTGGGATGAACAAGCTGGAGGGGAAACCCAAGCGTGGGATGGGAGATATAAAGGGAAAAGCACCAGAAAGAGCTGAGTTGATCCCACCCTGGATCCAAACACATCCCCATTCTCTTCTTAGTGAGATTCTTCTCTGCTCCTCTCCTTTTTCTTTCCTTTCTTCCATCAGGACTAGCCACTTCTAGGGAGTTTGATTCAACAAGGCAAAGGGAGGAATTGAATTATAAGATAGGGAAACACTGGCTTGAATAGGGAAAGGGAAAAGCTTGCCATCACCTCCAGAAAGAGTTGGATTTACCCCATCCTGGATCTCTCTTCCCAGTGGGATTCTCTTCCTCTCTTCTCCTCTCCTCTTTCTGTTCTCTTCTTTCCTTTCTTTCCTTGCCTCCAGAACAACTAGCCACTTGTTTGGTTCAACAAGGTGAAGGGGAAATTGAATTATGAGATAGGGAGACACTGGTTTGAATATGGAGAGGGAAAACCTTTCATCCACTACCAGAAAGCTGGATTTATCCCATCTTGGGTCCAAAACATCCCCATTCTCTCCTTTAGTGGGATTCTCCTCCTCTCCTCTCCTGTTTCCTTCCTTCCCTCCAGCAGGACTAGCCACTTATCGGGAGTTTGATTCAACAAGGCAAAGGGAGGAATTGAATGACGAGAGAGGAAGACATTGGCTTGAATAGGGAGAGGGGAAAGCTTGCCATCTCCAGAAAGAGTTGGATTTATCCTATCATGGATCTCTCTTCTTAGTGGGATTCTCCTCCTCTCCTCCCCAGTTTCCTCCAGAAGGACTAGCCACTTCTGTTTTCCCTTGCCCTCCTCACCTCGTCCTCTTGCCATCACCTCCAGAAAGAGTTGTATTTATTCCATCCTGGATCTCTCTTCTTAATGGGATTCTCCGTCTCTCCTCTCCTGTTTCCTTCCATTCCTTCAGAAGAACTAGCCACTTGTTTGATTCAACAAGGTGAAGGGGAAATTGAATAGGAAGACACTGGCTTGAATAAGGGAAGGGAAAATCTTTCATCCACCACCAGAAAGAGTTGGATTTATCTCATCTTGGATCCCATCCTCGATCTCTTCTTACTGCGATTCTCCTCCCCTTCTCTCTTCTCCTTTTCCTCTCTTGTTTCCTTCATTTTCTCCAGCAGGACTAGCCACTTATAGGGAGTTTGACTGAGTTATGATATAGAAGGATACTGACTTGAATATGGAAAGGGAAAACCTTTCATCCTCTACCAGAAAGCTGGATTTATCCCATCTTGGGTCCAACACAGCCCCACTCTCTTCTTAGTGGGATTCTCCTCCACTCCTAGAGGATGGAATCCTCTCAGATTCCATCTGAACATGAGGAAGAACTTCCTGACTGTGAGAGCCGTTCAGCAGTGGAACTCTCTACCCCGGAAACAGGAGTGAAGAAAGAGGAGAGGGGGAGAGTGAGGATGTGTTTGGATCCTAGATGGGATAAATCCTGCTTTCTGGTGGTGGATGAAAGGTTTTACCTTTCCATATTCTAGCCAGTGTATTTCTATCTCTTAATTCAGTTTCCCTCTTTGCCATGTGGAGTCAAACAAGTGACTAGTCCTGCTTGAAGAAAGGAAGGAAACAGGAGAGAATCATAGAATTAAAGAGTTGGAAGAGACCTCATGGGCCATCCAGTCCAACCCCCTTCCAAGAAGCAGGAATATAGCATTCAAATCACCCCTGACAGATGGCCATCCAGCCTCTGTTTAAAAGCTTCCAAAGAAGGAGCCTCCACCACACTCTGGGGCAGAGAGTTCCACTGCTAAACGGCTCTCACACTCAGGAAGTTCTTCCTCATGTTCAGATGGAGGGGAGAGAGGAGAGGAGGAGAATCCCACTAAGAAGAGAGACCCAGGAAGGGATCAGTCCAACTCTTCCTGGTGGCAAGGTTTTCCTTTTCCATATTCAAGCCAGTGTCTTCCTATCTCATAATTCAATTTCCCTTCTCCTTGTTGAACAAAACTCCTTATAAGTGGCTAGTCCTGTTGGAGGAAAGGAAGGAAACAGGAGAGGAGAGGAGGTGAATCCCACTAAGAAGAGAGTGGGGTTGTGTTGGACCTAAGATGGGATAAATCCAGCTTTTTGGTAATGGGTGAAAGGTTTTCCCTTTCCATATTCAAGCCAGTATCCTCCTATCTCATAACACAATCAGACTCCCCCTAAGTGGCTAGTCCTGCTGGAGGAAAGGAAGGAAACAAGAGAGGAAGAGGAGAGAAGGGGAGGAGAATCCCAGTAAGAAGAGATCCAGGATGGGATAAATCCAACTCTTTCTGGTGGTGGATGAAAGGTTTTCCCTTCCCTTATTCAAGCTGGTGTCTTCCTATCTCATAATTCAACTTCCCCTTCACATTGTTGAAGCAAACAAATGGCTAGATGTATTGTTGATGGCTTTCATGGCCGGAATCACTGGGTTGTTGTAGGTTTTTTCGGGCTATATGGCCATGGTCTAGAGGCATTCTCTCCTGACGTTTCCCCTGCATCTATGGCAAGCATCCTCAGAGGTAGTGAGGTCTGTTGGAACTAGGAAAAAGGGTTTATATATATGTGGAATGACCAGGGTGAGACAAAGGACTCTTGTCTGCTGGAGCTAGGTGTGAATGTTTCTACTGATCACCTTGATTAGCATATAATAGCCTGATAGTGCCTGGAGCACTAAAATTGCAACAGCACAACAACAGAAAGGAAACAAACAAGGACATCTAATCACCTCTCAACAAAAGTTGGCTCCAGGCACTATCAGGCCATTATATGCTAATC